CAACACACAGTGCACAAAAGGGGAATGTACACGTCACGAATGTACTGTACCTTGATAATATAAAAATAAAACACTTCCTGTGACTGGAAATACGGTTTGTAACATTTTTTGATGTAAAATTATGGGTAAACATATTATAAATACACTACTTTCTATGCTCAAGTTGATAATTAATTTCAAAAATGATTTTTAGGATATTTTTTGTATATTTCATGGCAAAATACATAAATCAGGAGGTGGATAAAATTATTGCATGAATGGGAATCTTGTTCAAAATAAGAAAAAAAAAAAAAGAAAGAAATCTCTGTACTAAATGTTCACCTTCAAAAGCTCTTCTACTACTTTAGTATGGCCATACTGACAGGCTCTCTGAAGAGCTGTTCGAAAATCTTCATCCCTTTTGTAATCAGCATCAAAGTATGTTCCGACCAAGAGATTATGTACTTCATTTAAACTGCCTTTCTCTGCTGCTTCTACCAAGGCAAGAGTTGTATCTGCAAAACATAATGAGTGTTCACCAATAGAAAGTTATTTTGGTCTTTGTCTGGCCCTCATCATCTTCATGTCACTTTGCAAAATCAGTTGGAGTTACTGTTGAACAAAATTTATGTCATTTAACAATTAAAAATTGAATTAATTTCTCTTTATTATATTGAAATTTAAAGTACGCATTTTGAAATTGCATGTAACAGTAATACATCCAACAAATTCCACGGCATTACATGATCTGTGATGGTTAAATTTGGTCGGATGGTTAAAAAATGTAAACATTTATTGAAACATATGAAGAAACTCTATATGAAATATCCAGAGAGGCTGCCTCAGTGTACATTATGACAGGAGCTTTTATTATATTTTATACTCTGGCTGAACAGCAGAAAGTAAAATCAAAGAGTATATAACTGCAGGTCTGACTGTTGAAGTTTCGTTGGAACGCAATCCTATCTCAAAAATTAATGCCAGAAAGGGGCGTGTCCTTAAAAAAAAGAACGTAAAAGGAGTTTGAATCAAAGAAGTGCTGCGCTTCCAATCTATAGAACGTATGTTCGTGTTTCGAAACGCAGCACGTGTTCGATACGAACGCCTTTTACGTTCTTTTGAAGGACACGCACCTTCGTGGCAATACTTTTTAATGTTTGATTGCCTGCATACAAAATAAGGGCAGTCGGACATCTCGCAGTTCTATACTCTTTGGTAAAATGACAGCTACAACCTGTCTCTTATACACATCTAGATGTGTATAAGAGACAGGTATGGTGACCTCGGGGTTTTTCTCTATTTTCGTTGACACGGCTTTCTTGGTGAATCTAGTACTCCTTTCCTTTTCTTTCCTATCTCTGAAAGCCTCAAATGAGAGACGAGCAAGCTTAGGCCTACTTGGTGATGGACTTTCATTTGGACTTGGCCGTTTTCGTGTATTAATACTAGAAGTTGAGTCCTCCATTGAAGATTCACCACAAGAATGGCAAAATTTTTCAAATTCTGAACCTTTTGTTGGGTGTCTATAAAACGAAGACCCTTTCGTCGAGTTCATTCGTAGAGGACGTGAAATCAGCCGGGAATCCGTCGTCACAGACATACACTTCTGACCAATCACAGTACGTCAATTGGCAGTCGATCATGTCAACACCAGGTCAACACTAGATTAGTTTTCAAAGTTCGCGAAGATCTTGCTGGGCTTTGTTGTTGAAGTTTGGAACCATGTCTGCATACAAAATGCCTCGATTCCATCAAACACGGATCCATTTTTGCATCGCCCTTCATGCGGAATTCTTAAAACATCATTGATAAATGTCATCCTTTTCAAATCTTGAATTAAATAATGTTATTTTGTTAATACAAAAGTGTATACTGTATATATACAGGTATATTGATATTGGCTTGTGTGTGAGGAGCCAAAGCGGCAGAGGCATATTTAAGAGTGGGTCTAAGGAAGGTGGTGTAGCATTGTGCCTTAAAGACCGTCTGACAAGCTGAATTATATGACTTATAAGAAAATATACAAATATATATTTGTATGTATATATGAATATGATAATAATAATAATAATAGTAAAGTAATAATAATATATAAATTTGATACATAATTACATATTCTAACTGGACTCTGTACATATGATGTATACATTGTGCCTGTATTTAACATTTTTCAATCATTGTCAATCTAAGTCGGAGTTATGTCCTAGTTTCGACCCTTTAACGTCACTATTGGATAGGCTTACCTTCATTAGACTTCTACGAATAATTACTGTAGTGTGTAGTGTTAAAATGTGCTTGTTTGTAAACTTAACATTTTGGTCACACTGACACACTGCCTTAATCCAACTTTATTATTTATTTATTATTAAATTGTATTTATAATATTTTATTGATGTATGCCTAATATAATTTTAACTGGTGGTCATGGCTTAAAGTTTGATTCTAAACTTATTTTGGCCTCTTAATGTCTATACACTTATTATGTAACGTAATATTATTCTTGTTTCTTTTACTATTAAGTTTTTTTTTTGTTGTACAGTATTATGTATGTGTATGTGAGTGAACAAATTAAATGAAATAAAAAAAAAAACACAGACTATACAACTGCTTCTCTTTTGTTAAATAATGATCTGAAAAGAGCCTTTTGGTTTGAGATTCTTGTTTACGTGCGACTGCTAAATCTTGAAAGATGTTTAGCTATTGCTACATCTTTCTCTGGTATGCTAAATGCTGAATGAACAGGTGTTGGTGGAGAACTGAGTTGTGGAATGGAGAGTTGTGGGTCTTTCTTCCCACTGCTACACAACTAGATTACCTTTGCTATAAGTTTATATTTTATAACTGGTTTTTTTCGCCATTTCTTCCTATTTTTTTCCTGTATGGGAGGATCAAAGCAATGTGGGAAGTGCTCTGAATGCCCAGTATAAATATTTTGAATATGATTCTTTAAGCTCATAAACTTCCCAAGCATTTCAATTGGATCTCCGCTAGGTGTCAACGAAGTCACCCAATAAACATGCTTTTTGCCCACTCCCGCACAAAAAGCATTTTTCTTTCCCGATGGCTCGAACTCCTTTTCTAAGGCCTGAACAAATGGTTTAGAAGAATGATAAATATTAATTTTATTGCTGAACAAAATAATATTTCCAAAACCCAACCAAGAGCAAATTATTTGGTCCACTTTTACTAATATAGGAGGGTAAAATGAATAAAAATAATAATTATACAATAATAATTGG